GTGGGGCTCACAAACGGAAATAAATGTCTTTTCTTTAAATTCAGTTACTCACTCTATTTGTTTTCTAATTTCTTCTTTTTTTAATATGAGTTCATTATTTTAGTCTCTTTTCTTATTTTGTTTTTTACTTTTCACTTCTTTGTACCACACGCTCCACTGTGTTGGTCTACCCCGTTCCCTGGCTGCCACAGGTCGCTCGCCAAGACTCACTCCGACTACTCGTTACTCACTAGACTACTCACTCCAGCAGCAAGCGGGCAGCGGGGTTCACGAGAGGGGAACTTTACTTGCGCCGAAAGGGGGGGGGGAGGAGGAGAGGGCGCATAATGTGAAGGGAAGCGTGGTGAGCAAGTCGTTGGCCACTCGCACCCTCGCTCCCTCCTTCTCCCCCTCCCTTCCCTCCCTCCCACACCCCGCCTGGCACACTAGGCACACACACACACACACACACACAGCAAGTATCTGAGTGTGCAGTCCAATCAATGGCACATTGCCACAGAATCCCAAAAGGAGTGCCGGTTGAGCCGGTTGAATTTGAAATGAGCGCGGTAGAGCGGGTCGGCTCTTTGTTGAAGGAAAGAGGAAAAAACAAACAGGAACAACAAAGGATTGCTACGTATGTGGGGAATACAAATGTTAGACGGGTGTTCGCTCTGAAGATTATAAACATCGTGCAGCCACGTGTAGTGTGAATAAATCAACACTCAAATTTTTTTTTTTTTTTTTTTTTTTTTTAAATCTAAACTAGATATCTCTAGATCTAAAATGTCTACATGTGACATTCTTTTTATAATTTTATATTTTCAAGTCTCAAGTCTGCTCAAGTCTCAAATTACAGTATTCTAGCCTGAGGTATGAAGCTTCAAATAAAATATGATACTGATGCTGGTTACATCTCGATCTTATCTCTACACTTAGTCATCCAAAATCTCCGCAAGGAGGAAGGTTGGGGGGGGGGGAGTTTACCAACACAGCTTAAACACACAAGTGTGTGACAAGGTAAATGCAGACTTGGCCAAAACCAGCAACAAACAACATTGAAAATTCAAATACTCCTCAATATTCTCAGGTAGGCTAGCAATTTTTGTGCACGACGTCATATATTCTACCATCATGTTGGCCTCACTGAGAGTGAGAGTGGAGACCCATATTGATCTATATCATTAAAGACTCTATATATTGTGGGTCAATAAAGTTCCAAAAATGGAGCTTTGCTGGATAAACTAAATCAAACCACTCAAACTTGTTGAAGACAAAGATATTGCGTGAATGTATTCTTAAAGCAAAAATATTATCAAAACCATACAACATTATAAATGCATCTGGTGTAAGACATTTAAGTCTCGGGTCTAACTGCCTGTATTTAAACACTAATCAGAACTTTTACAAAAGGCTATTTTAATACATATATGTGATGCGTGGTAATTAGTAACAATTCATCATCAAAAGGGGAAATCCAAGCTATTGGTGAGTAACACCACTGGGTGACTTCGATGAGTCATGCAGTCCAGCCGGCAGACTGGCAGATGAGGAGATGAGGAAATGAATAATGAATCAATGCTTCCCTACAGGTTTACCGCCCACAATCGATCAACGGGGAGACAAAGAGTCAAATTCATTTAGGGTTCAATAAGAGAAAAAATGAGAACAGGGTAAAATAACTGGAGTAGGTCAACGAAAAGAGACTATAGAATCTAGTTGTTGCAAATTGGCAAGGCAATCTTCTTGGACTCTGATTTTTTTATCATGCGGAGGCGGGGCAGTTGTGTAGACGTTTACAGTAAAATGCCGGCTGAGACCAGGAAATGGTTCTCATCCGATGACTTTATTTCTAAAGAAATAATCATTCCAAAAGAGGTGATGACAATTTCAGTATGGTGATAATAAAAAAAAGCACTCACCATTATGACTTAAGTTTGTAAAATAGAAGCTGGGGCGATCTGAAGACAGGAAGGAGGATGTCTATTTCCCGCTCACAGAGACGTTACGTGTCTGTCGTGAGATGAGAGAACAGCAGACTGACGAAACCAAGCCGGTCTCGCTCGTTTTATGGGTTCAGCTGCGGGGAGGCAAACGGACTTTTCTGATTGGTTGCCGGGACTCGGCAACATCATGAATAATATATTTACGCTGTGTGACATCATCCTCATCGCGCTGTACTGTAAAACTGCCAAAGTTAGTTTGTCTGCAATGTCTTCCGTGCAAGGGCAATCCTTCTCTCTCTCTCTCTCTCTCTCTCTCTCT